CTAATTTTCCTACATTCATGGTTCTCACATTCCATGTCCCAATCACCAGTGTCTGCTTACAACTGTTCCTCTTCCTTTGTATTTCCATACTTGAAAACTCAACCTCCTTTGCCATTTCTGTTATCTAAATGTGTTCTGTTGTACATAGGGTTTTCATAGTGCCATTTATTTCTTTTATTGGAACACAAAAAGTGGTTAAGATGTAAATTCTCCCATAATTATATATACAGACTACGCATTCACAATAAAAAATCTTAGAAGGGGTTTGTGAAGCTTATTTTAAAACATAAACAATAATGTTAAGGATCTGGTATAGGCAAAAAATTCTTGAAATAACATGTTAGAGGTCACACTCTATTTTCAAGACTTACTATGAATCCATGGTAATGAAAGCATCATCATATTAATGTGACCATGAACAAATAAATAAATGAGAAATAATAAGATGTTGGAAATAGAGCCACAAATTAAAATTGCTTTATTTTTCTGTGAAGGGAACTGTATAATTCACTGAAGAAAGAACAATGTTTTCAACAAAGGGTGTTGGAATGAATTATATCTTGAGTGCATATGACCAAAAATTAAGATGATTATAAATTTGAATGTAAGAGTTAAAGTCGAGACAAAATTTTGAGAATTTGAGATCATGATTGAGGCAATGATTAATTAGATCACAGAAGAGATTTATTGTAAAAGGAAAAAGTCAGTAAATTAAACCATTTAAATGAAATTCTTCTAAAAAATGAAATGCATTGAGGGGAAAAAGTAAATTATTTGATCTGAGTAGAAAATAAGAACAATGTGCACATTTGACACAAGATTTGTATTTCTAATAGCTCTTGTGGTAAGAAGCTGTTCTGTGATCCCAATAGCACACAGTTCAAATCTACCAGGTGCAATTTGTTGCCTATAAAAACCCTTTGGAGGGACAGCTATGTCTTAGTTCCTACTTGATGGCACACAACAACAACAACAATATAAAGGACTTCTATAACTTAAAACTGTTGATAGATTTCATTATAATAACTAGTTTCTAAAATTTATAAATGCTACTTATTTTTTTTTGTACTCAAATCATTAACTATTAAGAAAGTGTACTCTTATCACCAAGATCCTTCAGGTAGTATCTAGCTATAGAACTATGAATCTTTCAGATGTGTCTATCAATTCACTACTTTTTTTCAAATGCCTAGGATTCAGAAAGGGAGCACTGGTGGTAAATTCTTTACCTGCCCAATGATAAATTCACTTCTCATGGACTGCCAAGAAAACAAACAGATTCATCCTAGAGAGGGTTAAACCAGGCTGCTCCTTGGAGGCAAGGATTCTGAGGCTTCATCTGACATACTTTGGACATGTTGTAAGGAGAGACAGGTCTTTAGAGAGGGACATCATGCTGGGAGGGTAGAGGGACAGTGCATGAGGGGAAGACCCTCTATTAGGTGGATTGATTCAGTGACTGGGGTACTCGGGATGGGTGTGTCAGAGGCAATGTGATTGGCACAGGATAGAGCACGGTTTAGGGCTGTTGTACATAGGGTCGCTATGAGTTGCAAACGACTCGACGGCACATAACAACAACAACTTTGCTTTAGGAACTCTGATAACTCGACGGCACATAACAACAACAACAACATTAATTTTATAATTTAAAGTTGCAGAAGTTATATCTATAATTTGATGCAATATATTACTTGTGAAAAACTAATCTTATGTAGAAGTTATTCATTACTTATGTGTTAAACCTTGATAGATAATTCTGGTGGCTTAGTGGTAAGGAGTTGTGCTGCTAACCCAAGGGCATGCAGTTCGAATCCACCAACTGCTCTATGGGAGAAAGATGGGCAATGTCCTCCAGTGCAGTTCACTGCCTCTGAAAATCTTCTGAAAGTTCAGCCATAAATCTCTTCCAATTCAACGATACATAACCACACCAAAATGTAAACTATGAGAAAGATCTTGTTATAACAATTGGCTGATTTAGTTGTCTTTGATTTACTTGATTTCCTTCTTTTTTGGTTTGTTGCACTTAAAATCATCTTTGTTTTCTCATTTAGGGTACATCACTGAAGGGTTTCTCATTTTGCAACACTCTGTGGACAAGGCCATCATGCTCTATTATGCCAACATTACTGCTGAAAAGCTGCTTGATTCTAGCAGCATTTTTATGCAGAGATTTCCATCCTCAGAATATAAATATGATGTATTTTTTTCATATTCTGGATTTTTCATTCCCTTAGTCATCTTATTTATGTTCTCTATCAATCATTTTACCCTCATTCAATCCATTGTATGGGAAAAGGAAAACAGATTGAAGGTAACTTTTTTTTTCTTCTTGTGATAGAACTTGTGGAGAAAATTTGAGATTGTTGGGGCAAATCTATATGGAGGGTTGGATTATTGATGCACACCCAGCACGGGTAGATGATTAAGTGTTAATAGCAACCAAATGGTGAGCAACTGACTGTATTTCAGGTTGCAAATATTTTATGCTTTTGTAAAAAGTGTTGGTTTGATTGTTAGTCTTTTTCTTTGATGACCACTTCACCAGGTTGTTACAGACTGAATTTTGCCAGAGTGCTCCTTAGAAGCAAGGATGATGAAGCTTCATCTCACATACTTTGAGCATGTTGCTAGGAGAGGCTAGTCCTTGGAAAGGGACATCATGCTTGGAAAAGTGATGCGTCAGTGAAACAGAGGACAAATCCTCAATGAGATGGATTGACATAGTCACTGCAGCAATAGGCTCATGTATGTTAGAGATGGCACACCGTAGGACGGCCTTCAGATCTGTCATAAAGTTGCTATGAATTGTACTTAACCACACCTAACAACAACGATGTTCTAAAATTTCTTTGCAATCAAATGGGTTAGAATGCGAGAATGCAATGGGATCTTGTAATTGAATGTAGATGAATTTAAAATTTAATTCAATTCCAAGATTTTGCATTTATATATATATATAATCTCTCTCTATCTATCTATCTGTCTATATCACACCAGTTATGTATATGATAGATGTTTTGTTGTTGTTGTTAAGTGACGTTGAGTCGTAGATGACTCATAATAACCCTATGAATGAATATATCTCTCCAATTTCTGATCTCTTTTCTGTCAATTATTTCATCCTGATTTTGATAATATTAAGATTAGGGGCTCTGCAGGTTTAAAATTCAGTCATTCACCCATACACATACATTTTTCATTTAATAGACGCTTATTTTTGTATGTTTCCTAACTACTATCCACTATTTTACTTTAGGGAGTTCTGGTGGCCTACTAATTCAAAGCTGCGCAGTGATCCAAAAGGCACCTGGTTTGAGCCCACCAGGTGTTCCACCGGAGAATGATGGGCAATCTCCTCTTGTGTGAAAACCCACTGGAGAATAGCTATGGGTCTCTTCTGACTTGAGGGCACATAACAACAACAACTTTGCTTTAGGAACTCTGATAAATATAGGTTTTAATCCTATGTCTATCACTTATTGACTCTCTAACATGTCATAAAATTTTCTAGATAAGATTTTAAATTGAGGTTAATGATACATGACGTGAGAGTTGTCAGGATATTAAATGCAGTACTGTTGTTGTTGTTGTGTTGTTAAGTGCCATCAAGTCATAGGCGACTCATAGTGAGCGACTCTATGAACAAAAGTCCTGGACACCTGTATAACTTTTGTCCTTTCTCCAGGTTCATGGGGTTTCCAGAGGCAAGCTATTATGGAAGTGGATGTCACTCCTGCTTCCAAGCTTGTTTTTACTGGGAGCTCCACTAAACACTGTCCATCATGGATAACCATTCTCACATTTGACTCATGAAAAAAAAATGTTATCCCCCAATCACTGAGACTTAACAGTTGTGATGTACAAATGGGAAATACATTAAGGGTGCTTAGTAATGTCCCAGGTACATAATAAGAACCCAGTAATTGTGAGCTGTAGTGTTTTAGGAGGGAAACCAATAATCACTGCAGTTGGAAAAAGCCAGTTCATCTCTGTGATTCTTGTTGCCATTGATCCTACTACACTACCCCTTCCTGCCTTTTGAATTTTAACCCTGGACAAATCCTGTTGATCTTGTTGTTGTTATGTGCCATTGAGTTGCCTGCGACTCATAGCGACCCTATGTACAATAGTCCTAAATCCTGCTCTATCCTGTGAGAATCTCACTGTCTCCTACACACCTACCCCAATTACCCCAGTCACTGAATCAGTCCACCTCATAGACAGTCTTCCTTTCCTGCGCTGTCTCTCCAACCTCCCAAGCATGACTTCCTTCTCCAAGGATTGGTCTCTCTTTGCAACATGTCCAAAGTATGTCAGATGAAGCTTCAGAATCTTTGCCTCCAAGGAGCAGCCTAGTTTAAACCTCTCTTGGATGAACCTGTTTGTTTTCTTAGCAGGCCATGGTATATTCAGTACTCTTCTTCAACAGCACAGCTCAAAGGCATTGATTCTCCTTCTATCCTCCCTGGTCATTGTCCAATTCTCTGACACATAGTAAGTGATTGCAAAGACCATGGCCTGTATCAGGCCATCTCTCTCTGTTGATATTATTCTAAGGAGTGAGTTCCTCCCTGATGTTATTACTCACTTGGTGGGCTTACCTGTTGCTTATCTGCGAATTGAGCCAGATGAGTGAGCTTTCTTCATTGTTCAAAAACAGACTAAGGCCTAGCTCAGGGGTTTTACCATTCTCTGTTGAAGAGTAAGCCTAGCCTTTTTTATGTTCTTGAGTTTTATTCTACTTTTTTCATCCACTTTATTCAGAACTTTCAATTTTTATCTTTTTTGGACTAGTCAGTGGTGAAAGTTGGGTATCACCTAGTTCCTCTGGTCTCAGGATGGTAGAGTTTGAGGACTGATGGCCTTTGGACTAATGATTTCTATGCTTATTTGCTTTTCTCCCTCTTCTTTGTTCTGGGTAGGGAAAGATTGATGTCTGTACCTTAGATGGCTGCTTGAAAGATTTCAGGACCCTGTTTGCTGCTCATGACAGTAGAATGTAAAACATTGTCTTTGTGCAGTATTGTTATTCCAATTGACTTACCTGCGCCCTGAGACTGTAATTCCAAACTCCTGTCCTCAACAACATATGTCTTCAAGGTGATTGGCTAGGATTAAGAAGTTTATATAGTTTTACCTCCTATTGGTGCTACTGTACACATGTATATAATTCCAGCATATGCTAATATGAATGTATAAATATCACCTACTGCATCTATGTATAGATGGTTATTGTTCCACTCACCTATCCATAGTTGTTGGTCTTGTCTTTCTGCCTATATATCCACTTATAAATTAATATTTGTTCTTACTGGTAGAATGTTGTCTTGGCAGTCCTTGTATGTTCAAGACTCTTCTCCAGCACCAGAGTTCAAAGACATCAATTCTTCTGTCATCCTTGGTCATTGTCCAGCCCTCTGATGTATAGAAGGTAATTGTGAAGACCTAGATCAGGAGCACCTTAATCTCTAGACTGACAACATTGCTCTTCAGTACTCTGGAGTGGTCTCTGACAGCAGATTTTCCCAGAGCAATTTGTTTTTTGATTTCTTGACTTCTGGTGCCAGAGTGTTGATTGTGGAGCTGAGCAAGCAGAAATTTTTAACAGCCTCATTCTCTTCTCCATTTATCATGGTGTTGCCAATTGGCCCAGCAGTGACAATCTTTGTCTTCTTGATGTTTAGCTTAGCTCTAGCTTTATTGCTAATATTTTGTTATATTCTTTTTTTGGTATGTGGTGATGCTGTTTTCTTTTTCCATCTCCTTCTCTGTACTGAGTTAATTTTCTTTAGGAATTTTCTTATCATTTCCGCCATTACTGTTGTTTTAGTATTTTCTAAGCCTTTATGACATTCTTTAATTTTGATGAGAAGGTTTAGAAATTTTCTTGGATGAGCAAACCAATATAAAATAAAACAACAATAATAATAATAACAACAATAATAATACATTTCTTGGAATAAATTATTCCCACCTCTGAAACAATTCTTTATCTTAAATCCACTAGGCATCTTCTCCATTTAGAAGTTCTAGAATTACATTTTTTAATTCTTTCATTTTGCACTGTAGTTGTCTTCATGGTTTCTTTTTTTTTTGTTTTGTAAGTTTGGGGTTTTGTATTATTGTGTTTGAATGACATTGTCATGTAAGGGATTGGCCATTTTGGTTCTTATATTTAGGCCTATGATACATTGTGTGTTAATCTTGTATGTATGGGAGTTGTTGTTGTTGTGTACCGACCCATAGCTAACCCTCCAGTGAGTTTTCAGAGACAGTTAACTGCATGGGAGGTGATTGTCCATCCTTCTCCCACAGAGCAGCTGGTGTCCTCAAACTGCATTCCTTGGAGATGGCAATGCAATTTCTTGCCACTAGGCTACCATGCTCTCTATTTTCATTCAAATGACTTTCGCTGCTGAACCATATCAAGTCAAGTAGTGGGAGAATGATCTGCATTAGAACTACAGCACTCATTTTGTGAGATCTGAGTCAGAATTACAGCACTCATATTCATTATGTAATCTATTTTTAATCAAGCTCTTTGGCATTATAAGGCTTGTTTTCCTTCTCTATAAAATAGAAATGAAAGTATTGTTGTTTAATCCAATTTTGTTGAAATGAAAGTAAACTAGATAATTATTGTGAATGCATTTTAAAGCTCAGAAGCGTTTTGTAGCGATAATATTTGACAAGCTCCTTATAACGTTACAGCTATCGTGTTTTAGAATAACTGCTGTGTGTTCATTCTCCGCAGGAATACCAGCTGATGATAGGACTCAGTAACTGGATGCTCTGGGCTGCCTATTTCACGACATTCTTAGTTTTTTATCTAATTGTCATCTTTTTATTGTGCTTCATTTTTTTTATCAAGGTGAGTTCTATTTCACTGTCATGTGCTACCATTAAGCTTAGAGAAGAAAGCAGAAGCGTGCTATGAGTTCAGTGGGACTCAAGTTACTGGAAGAATGAACGTAGAAGAATGGAACATAGAAGTTGTTTATCCTTAGCAAATAAACTTTAAATTTATCTGGGAGGGGTTCCTTAAGAAATGAATTGTTTCTTTAGAACATCATCTCACTGGGACTGGTCATCAGTCCCATTGACATTATTATCTTTAAGATTTTCCTCTTTTGTTTTGCTATGGAATTTTCTAGAGTCTGACTAAACTATGCTATTGATTCTTTTTGCTAGATTGAGCCTGTTCCAATTCTTCAGCATAGTGACCCATCTCTCATCTTCATGTTTTTGTTGTGTTTTGCCATCGCATCACTACTGTTCACTTTTATGGTTAGCACATTATTTAGTAAAGGTAAGTCTAATCTTTCTCCAAGGAGCTCTGGTGGTGTAGTGGATAATGTGTTGCGTTGCCCTGTTAACCGAAAGGCCAGGGGGTTGAATCCTTAAGTCAATCCATAGGATAGGCACTCTCCTTCCATTAAGATTTATAAAAGGGTTGTTATGGATCAGAATTGACTCAACAAGATTGGATTAGGTATTTTTCTTTTGTGAGAGATTTCAATGATTAAAAAAGTATTGTCTGAAAAGTATTATATATGGGAGCTCCACTAAGGTTTTTTTTGTTTGTTTGTTTATTTTATTTTTTTTTCCACTAAGTTTTTCAGACTTCTCATTAATAGTTCTGTTTACATTCTAACTAAAAATACTAATATATTCATGTGAAATTATTTGAGAGAAAGTTAAGAAATCAGTGAGAATTAATATAGTGTAGGATACATAAACAAAAAGGATGAAACAAAAGAAATCGTATTTAGGAGCTTTTTCTATTGCTAGTTGCTGTATCATATATGGTAAAAGTATATCAAACCACCAAGGAAGGATTTTGTATATTCAATGGGGAGAATCCAATGTATAAAACAAAAAAGTGTGTGAAGAAAGAAAAACAATACAATAATCTTATTTTTTATAAAAAAACCTTAGCATTTAATTACAAAATCTTTATGTCATGTTGTCTATTGGTGTTAAGTATCATTGAGTCAGAGCCAACCCATAGGTGACCCTCCAGTGGGCTTACAAAGGCAGTTTAATTGCACAGGACGAGGCTGCCCTCTTTCTCCTGTGGAGCCCCTGGTGGATTCAAATCATGTGTCTTTGGGAAGGCAGTGCCATTTCTTACCACTAGTCCACCAGGGGTCCCTATGCTGTCTGTAGGTATATAGAATACCGTGCCTACCTTCTAGGAGCTAATATTGTCATGCAAAGAGCAATGAAAATTTATAGAGCACAGTGTAGAAATGTTAAAGGGATTACAAGACTTCAACTTCAGATTGAGGTTGAGATAAATCTGAGAATGTATCTTGAAAAAGTTCCTTCTAAAACATTTTTTTAAAACATTACAAAATAGAAATAGGATAACACACCAATGAATAAAAATATCCCTTTATTGCATTTATATAGCTCTTCAGATCATTTACTCTTCAAATACCATATTGTGCATAAAGGTAAATAAAAGATATTATTTAAAGGATTACATGCCAAGAGCTTGTAACTCCAGTTCATGGGAATTTTTCTTGTCTTTTAATCAGTATAGTATCATGACTATTAATAGATGTTGAGGGTTCCTTACAAAGTACACAGTCATAGAAACAATCAGAAAGACAGTGGAACCAAACCAAATAAAACTAAAACAAAAAAGCAAATCCAAGGACATTGAAAATGTGAATGTCAAAGTGAGGGAGAATGTGATATATAGTGAAGAGAAAATAAAATCTGTAGAAATCACATAAGAAAGTTTTCTATTTATAGTAGGCTAGATGTTGTTGTTATGTTGTTATGTGCTGTCGAGTTGCTTGTGACTCATAGCGACCCTATGTACAACAGCCCTAAACCCTGCTCTATCCTGTGCCAATTTCACTGCCTCTGACACACCCACCCTGATTACCCCTGTCACTGAATCAATCCACCTCATAAAGGGTCTTCCCCTTCTGCGCCGTCCCTCCACGCTCCCAAGCATGATGTCCCTCTCCAAGGACCTCTCCCTCCTTACAACATGTCCAAAGTACGTTAGACAAAGCCTCAGAATCCTTGCCTCCAAGGAGCAGCCTGGTTTAACCCTCTCCAAGATGAATCTGTTTGTTTTCTTGACAGTTCAGGGTACATTCAGTACTCTTCTCCAGCACTACAGCTCAAAGGCATCAATTCTCCTTCTATCCTCCTTAGTCACTGTCCAACTCTCTGATGCATAACAAGTGATTGCAAAGACCATAGCCTGTATCAGACACACCTTAGTCTCCAGAGTGACACCATTGCTCTTCTGTACCCTGGAGAGGTCCCTAACAGCAGACTTTCCCATCGCAATACGTTTTTTAATTTCCTGGCTGCTGGTGCCAAGAGTGTTGACCATGGAGCCAAACAGACTAAAGTTGTAAATAATCTCAATCTCTTCACTATCCATCCTGATGCTACCAATTGGTCCAGTGGTGAGAATCTTTGTCTTCTTAACATAGCAGGCTAGATACTCTTGAAAAATTTTTTTATATATTTTCTGGAACAGATGCAAGACTTTCACTGTTACACGTATTTAGAAATGGAAATTTTGGGTCCTAGAGTCTGTGAACAGTCAGCATAACTAGGTTAAGTAAAAAACTTTGAGAACTACTATTCCACACATTTATAACTTTCCTGGAAGATGATGAGAATTCCTATTGCTTCATCCATTAAAAAATTTTGGAGTGGTAAATTTAAATTTGCACCATATTTGGGGTGTAAAGAATTATTTCATCACAATATTCAAGCTATTTTATAGTGTTAAACTATATAAAAACAGAATTTGCTATTTTAACCATTTTAAGTGTAACAGTGATACTAATTGTATACACAGTCAATGCCCATGGTAACAGCAGTCTAGAAATCAAAAGACATGTTGCATTATGAAAATGTGCTGTTACGGGTATCTCCAAAGTGCTAGAGAGCAATGATGTCAGTTTGAAGTTTTTTACCTTGTTGTGTGTCATTGAATCAGATCCACCTGGCACAGAAGACTGCTCATCCTTCCCCAGTGAAGTATCTGGTGGATTCGAACCATGTGCCTTCAGGATTGCAGTGTGGCTTTGTTTCCTTGATATTGAAATGCAATCCATATAAAAAACTGCAGTGCTTAATCTTTGACAGCAAGTGCTTCAAGTCCTCCTCACTTTCAGAAAACAAGGTTGTGCTATCTGTATAATGGAGGTTATTAATGAGCCTTCCTCCAATCCTGATGTCATATTCATCTTCATAGAGTTCAACTTCTTGAATATTTGCTCAGCATACAGATTAAATTGGTATGATGAAAGGATACAACACTGATGCAAGCCTTTCCTAATTTTAAACCATGCAGTATTCCCTTGCTCTGATCATACAATAACCTCTTAGTCTAGGTATATGTTTTGCTTGAACACAGCTATGTGTTTTGAGTCCCATTCTTTTCAATGTTAGTCATTCATACAGTGGAATACTACACAGCACGAAGAACCAATGATTTTGTAAATTGCTACCTAACTTGGGAGGGACTAGAGAGCATTATGCTGAGTGAACGAACTCAGTCCCATAAGGACAAATACTGTATAAGACCATGATTGTAGAACATGAGTGAGAATCCAAGGAGGGGAGGGTGGGAGCTGAAGGGTGAGGATGGGCGGGGTTACGGTGGGGGAGTGGTTAATCATGGGGTCTCACAATTTGATTGGTGGAGGGAGGGATGGGTAAAGGAAATGGGAAAGATCAGGTGTGAAAAACAATGTATACAAACTTTGTGAGTAAACCAGTATCTATAACTATATAAAGATGTTATCCATATTGATCCTCTGCAGCAAGTGTTTCAAGTTCTCCTCACTTCCAGCAAGAATGTTGTGCCATCTGCGTAGTGCAGAATGTTGATGATTCTTCCTCTGATTTTGATGCTACATTCTTCATATATAGTTCAGGAAGCATCAAAAGAAGACGGAAATAGTACACTGAGTCACTGTACCAAAAAAGAGTTGGTGGACACAGAACCATTTCAGGAAATAGCCTATGATCAAGAAACAGTGGTGATGAAGGAAGAAGTGTGAGTTGAATTGAAGGCATTACCAAAACAAAAGGCCCCAGGAGTTAATGTGATACAAATTGACATATTCTAACAAACAAATGTTATAATCCTAGACCAGCTCACCAACTATGACAGGAAATTTGGAGGATAACCAACAAGTCAAAGAAGATGAAGAGATCTATACTTGTTCCCATTCCAAAAAAAAGTGACCCAAGAGAATGTGGAAAATACTGAACAATAACAATATGACATGCAAGTAAAATTTGGTTGAAGATTGTTAAAAAATGACCAGAACAAGTACATCGACAGAGGACTGCCAGAAGTTCCAGCTGAATTTAAAAGAAGCCAGGGCATAAAGTATATCATTGTTGATGTAAGATGGATCTTGGCTGAAAGCAGAGAATACCACAAAGATGTCTATTTATGTTTTATTGACTATGCAAATGCATCTGACTGTGTGGATTATAACAAATTATGGTTGATATTGAGAAGAAGGGGAATTCCAGAATGCTTAACTGTGCTCATGCAAAACCTATACCTAGATCAAGAAGAAATGATTATCTAAACAGATCACTGCATGGGTTAAAAGCAGGGAAGCTGTGTGTTAGGGCTGTATCCTTTTTCTGTATCTATTGCAGGGTGATAATCTTTAGGTTTGAAAGCAGGAGTGGCATCCACTTCCTAAACAATATGCCTCTGGAAACTCTATGAACTTTGATAAGTGATAATAAGTTATAGAAAGGCTCCAGACCTTTTGTTCATAGGGTCACTATAAGTCATGCTCTACCCGGCAGCAATCAACACCACCACCACAATCTTGAGGAATTCTCCAGTCTCAACCAGTCCAATAATTCTTTCTAAGTATTTTAGTTCTGTCCTATATTTCTTTCCAGTAGAGATCCAAGGGTTGTCACCTTGATCAGAATGGCCTACAAGGGTAGCAAGACACCAGGTAGTTCTGGTGTCAAAGGAGAGAAAGTGATGGTTTTTATAAATGATAAACTTACAAATTTCTTATTCTGAATAATAGCAAACATGAAGGCTTCTCAATTAAGGTTTTAATATATATGCTATTGTTTGTTGTTGTTGTTATGTGCTGTTGAGTCACGTGTGACTCATAGCGATCCTATGTAAAACAGCCCTAAACCCTGTGCTCTATCCTGTGCCAATCTCACTGTCTCTGACACACCTACTCCTATTACTCCAGTCACTGAATCAATCCACCTCATAGAGGGTCTTTCTCACCTGTGTTGTCCCTCCACCCTCCCAAGCATAATGTCCTTCTCCAAGGACTGGTTCCTCCTCACAACATGTCCAAAGTATGTCAAACGAAACCTCAGAATCCTTGCCTCCAAGGAGCAGCCCGGTTTAACCCTCTCTAGGATGAACCTGTTTGTTTTCTTAGCAGTCCACAGATGGATCAATTTCAGAAAAACCACTTCCTCAAAGCATTTTATTCCAGTCTGTAATTAATTTTTTTTGAAATCTTTGAGCACTTACTATGTGTCAAACATTTTATTATGTTCTGGGGAATTAATAGCAAGCAAAATAAGTTCATTTGAGTGCATGTTTTCACAATTAAAGATGCTTTTCGTTTCCTGCAGATTATTTCAATTGACCTCAAAATTTCCTCCTTCTCTGCAGCTAATAATGCTATCTCTTTTGGAGGATTCCTATATTTTGTCACTTATTTTCCATTTAATATTGTCTCTCAAAACTATCCAAAGATGACACTCTTCCAGAAGTTGGCCTCCTGCCTCTGCTCAAATATTGCAATGTCACTGGGAATCCAGTCACTAGTGAGGGCAGAAAGCGCTAGTAAGTGTCATTTTACCTTTTACGCTAATAAAAATATCTTTATTATCTTGTGATATTCACATTTTAATATTGTTGATTACTGTCGAGTCAAGCACGACTTATGAACCCTATGAACAAAAGGCCTGAAGGCTTTCTATAACTAACGTAATTTATCAAAATTAATAGAATTTCCAGAGGCATGTTGTTTAGGAAGTGGATGCTACTCCTGCTTTCAATATTGCTATTGTTACATATCTCTTGTTTTACTATTGTTAAACTTAACTGTTAAACTTTAACTGCTTTATACTACCCTCTTATAGGAAGCTCTGGTAGCCTAGTGGCAAGAATCTGTGCTACAATCCCGAAGGCACGCTATCTGAGACCACCAGCTGCTCCCTGGGAGAAGGAGGGGCAATCTCTTCCCCGAGTGATTAACTGCCTCTGAAAACCCACCAGAGGGCCAGCTATGCATCAGTTCTGACCCTGTGTTACACAACAGCAACAACAGTTACGCTCTATAGTGTAGATTTTTCTCAAATTTCCTCTAAACGTACGACACGTCTGTTATGATCTCTTCTTCCTCCTTTTGCAGAATTGCTACCCTCTAGCTAGTGGTGGGGAAAGAAGCAACATGAGTACTGATTTGAGTATTTTCTTCGTCCTTACTCCTTACAAGCATTCACCCACTGTCACTGAATCTGAACCAACTCATAGGTGACCCTCCAGTGGATTTCCAAGGCTGTAAATTCCAGGGGAGCCCTGATGGCCTAGTGGACAAGAAGTTGTGTGGCCAAATCAAAGGTGGGACCTTTGAATTCACCCAGTTGCTCTGCTCTGTGGGAGACAGATAGGCAATCTTATCCTGTGCCATTTTCAGCTTCTAAAAACCCAATGGAAGATCAACTGTGAGTTAATTCTGACTTAACAGCAGTGTGTAGTGAACTACGTAGGAGAAGATGGGCCGCCTTTCTCCCTCAGGGCTGCTGCTGGCCTCAGACTGCCAGAGAGGAATTATCTCTGGGTTAGTAGCACATCTCCCCACAGACAATGGCACAGTGCTCCTCACTCTGTGCATGCCATTTCCACGAAATATCATCTAATCTTTCATTCTATGTTCAGCATCCATTCCTACTTTTTAATTATCATTGTTATTTCCCCAAAATTATGTTCTAATGAACATTCAGCTACCATGAGGAGGAAGGTTGGGGCAAAGACTGTGTCTTGAGCCATAAGTTTGATTATCATTCTTAAAATTTATTCCTCTGACCTTTTGGTGTATTTCGTTGTTGTTTCAGTTTTTACCAATTATTTTTTGACTTGAGATATAGAAAAGAATGACTTTCAAGAGTGATACTCATTTGTCCTCTTCAACAACCTAAATTCTAAGGACGTAAGGAAAAAGGATCTAAAAGGCAACCTGGGGCCTGTGTATTGAATGAAAGATCCAGTGCAAAAGCATCACCATGAACATGAGCAAGAGGATGCAGCTCCCAGATTAAAACAGGCTTGGAAGCAGGAGCGGCGTCCACTTCCGAAATAGCTTGCATCTGGGAACTCTTTGAACTTAGAGAAACGATGAAAGTTATATAAGTGTTCAGGTCTTTTGTTCATAGGGTCGCTATGAGTCGTCTGTGACACGATGACACTTAACAACAACAAGATCTCTAGAGAGTATCAACATTTTCCCCCTTCACAATTTAACTCTATTTTAATCTCAGTTCTAAGATATTGAATGTATGCTCTTGTGCTTTAGGTATTGGAATTAAATGGGACAACGTTCTGTCATCGACAAATGTGGATGATTTTGTCTTTGCCTATATAATGGGAATGCTCCTATTTGACGCTTTCTTGTATGGCCTTGTGACGTGGTACATAGAAGCTGTATTTCCAGGAGAGTACGGTGTGCCTAAACCATGGTACTTTTTCTTGCTGGTGAGTTACAATGCTTCTGTTAGGCTTCTAGAGCACAATCCTTGTGATTCTGTTTTGTTAGCTGTGAAACACATCCTGAATTAATTTTGCACTGTCTACAGTGAAACCAGTACAAAAGATTAAATTATCTACATTCTAGCTTACTAATTCACTAGCCTTTCCCTATCATATTTAAGCCATAACATATATGCTTATACATAATTGTCATTGTTATGTACCATTGAGAGGAACCAACTCATAACTGACCCTCCAGAGGGTCACAGGGGAGGAGATTGGCCATCTTTCTCCCATGGGGCAGCTGGTATTTTCAAAGCACATGCCTTTGGATTAGGAACACAAGTCCTAGCCATCAAATAAAAATATATAAAACAAAATATATACACATACACACAATTCAAACTCTCTGCTGATTCTATCGTGCAACTCCAAAGTCACAAACCTTACAAATTGTGCTATTTCCAGCCAATTGTTTCATAAAAGATTGAACTCCAAGTCCAATGAAATGAATCTTCGGAGAATCTTTGGATGTTAATGAGGAGAGGTTTATTCATGTCCTATATCTATCTCCTGTGCAGAGGGGAAGGCCCTCTATGAAGTGGATTGATTCAGTGACTGGGATAATTGGGATGGGAGTGTCAGAGACGTGCGATTGGCACAGGATAGAGCAGAGTTTAGGGCTGTTGTACATAATGTCGCTATGAGTCGCAAGCGACTTGACAGCACATAACAACAACAACAACACATTATCTATCTCGGCACTCACCACCTGCATCCTTTCTAAGCCCAGATAATTTAGATCAGTGGAAAGGGTCTACACCTTGCCCTTCCTTATTGATGTCATTGGGTTTTATGTTGTTGTTAGCTGCCTGCCATTGAGAACGACTAATAACAACCTTTGAACAACACAGTGGAGCTCTGTCCTATCCTGTGCTAGCCTTACCATCTCGGACACACTTAAGCCCATTGCTGCGGTCACTGTGTCAATCCAGCTCACTGAGGGTCTTCCTCTCCTTCATGGTCCCTCCATCTTTCCAAGCTTGATGTCCTTCTCCAAGGCATAGTCTCTCCTAGGCTCATGTCCAGAGTATGTGAGATTGTGAGATGATGCTTTGTCATCCTTGCCTCCAAGGAGTACTCTGGCTGCACCTTCTCCGAGACATACCTGTTTGTTCTTTCGACAGTCTATAGGATATTGAATATTGTCCTCCAACATCCCAACTGTTAATGATAAGTGAGTTTTGGTAAATGATAATCACTGATAAATGGGTGATGTTGGGTTTTATATGGTTCATAAAAGTGATATCATACTTTCTACTGTGACTTCATTTTGGAGTTATCATTTAATAGGATACTCTGTTTTATGCCCTAAACTCCAAGCCAAAGTCACTGCTATGGAGTTGATTCCAACTGCTGTAAATACAAGTTTCCAAAAATGTAAATCTTTACAGGGGAAACAGCCCATCTTTCTCCTTTGAAGCAACTGGCAGATTCATACCACCTTTCAGTTAGCAGCTTGATATATTATGCACTATGCCATAATGGCACTCCTTTTTTATACCCTGAGAATTGAAACTATAGCCAATTATATCCTGAATTTAATCCCAAGAAGTATCTTGCCATTCACTGTAATACAAAACAAAACAGCAGTTGAAAGGATTTTTAGATAGTTCTTCCCCTCCCCAACAATGCTATTACAATGATCATATTTTTTAATTGATTTTAATGAAAGTTTACAGAGACTTTGGGTTTTTTTTCTTCTATATTTTATTAATTTTCATAAACATTTACAG